GTGTGTGAGAGAGAGAGAGAGAGTGTGTGTGTGTGTGTGTGTGTGTGTGTGTGTCCGTGTCTCTGTGTGTTTAAGCTATTTACATTGTTCGGACTCATCTTTATTGTCATATTTACGGCGTTGTACTTTAGAATTTACGAAACGAACCCTCTATGCAGAACACGTGAGTCTAATCAGGCCCAAACACACACACACACATTCACACACACACACACACACACACATATATATATATATATATATATATGTATATATATATATATATATATATATATATATATATATATATATATATATATATATGTCTTATTGAATAAATTACAGACATTATATCTGCTAATTTTAATAAAATCCGTTCATACTCACGAATAACCTTCCGTATATTGATGTTAAAGAATGAGAAGAATGTGCTATAGCTGTTTAAATTTCTTTTATTTTCATTTTCCAAGTACTTTCGATCGTCTTCCAAGATCATCTATACAAAGATATGCGTTGTAATTTTGCATTATACTTTTAAATGCAAAACAGTTGACAATGTGCCGAGTGTTCATTAATATTGTTTTCATTCACAATATAAGAAATCGCCAACACAACTATCCTATACCATGAAAACAACAAATTTAGATTACAGATACTGGAATCAATTTATATTAAAAATTTAAAGCCGGCACTGAACAGAATCCAATAAGTTAGAGGAAAAATATTCCATAATGGATAATCTTTTCACGTTGTGGTATATCCTATAAGAAAATTACGGTAATGGATAACAAAGCGTATCTTTATATAAATACTTACATTAATGAACAATATATAGGTTTGTACTACTTGCACCCCTGAAGATGATCTTGGAAGACGATCGAAAGTACTTAGGAAATGAAAATAAAGGAAACTTAAACAGCTATAGCACATTCTCTCATTCTTTAACATCAATACAGGGAAGGTTATTCGTGAGTATGAAGGGATTTTATTAAAAAATTAGCAGATATAATGCCTGTAATTTATTCAATCAGGCACAAACACACACACACACACACACACACACACACACATATATATATATATATATATATATATATATATATATATATATATATATATATATTGATGGAAGTAGAAGTAGTCATATTCAAAGTAATCGTATCGGTTGAGTTTTTTTTTTCAGAAACCTTTTCATTAATGTTTTATATTAACAGAACACCTTACTTTTGTTAGTATAGAAGGAATAATTCCTAGGTGATTAGCGTGGTACACGCAAGATACTTGCCTGAAACTTACAGTTTATTTAAAGACGAAAAATACGCATATATCGATCTGGCCTTTCTCCTGTGTTTGACCTTTGGTAATTATATATATGCTTGCAAGATTGGTAGACAAGTGAAAGATCGATAAATATATGCCTAGAAGGAGACAAGCGTAGATCTCTGGCTTGTACGAACTTTTAAACCATATCTTCCTAGTGTTAGTTTAAACTGACACCTTGCTTTTTTTTTCTCTGTATAGATGAACGAGCAAAATATAATGTCGGAAAGGGATAATTCCACTGAAATAACTTCGTGAATTTCAGTGTTTTCATATCGAATAAATAGAATTGAAACTATAAACATAATAGTTGCGACCAATGGCAAGCTATATGTCAAGGTGTTAGTTTAAATAGTCATTTAGTTTTTTTGCCTATATCTAAAATGTCTCTATTTCTGAGATGCGGTTTGGTTTGTCATGTTTTACGGTATATCAACTTCAATGGTCATTTAATGCCGACAATCTTTTTTGGTTCCTGGTATATATTTTTGTTTTGTCAAATATCTATTTCTTTTAATATTTTTTTCCTCAAAAATGTATAGCTGGTAATATTATTTTTTCAAAAACCTATAGATAATAATATTATTTTCCCGAAAACGTATAGCTCGTAATATTTTTTTTTTCAAAAATAATTGCTGGTAATAATTTTTTTTTTTTCAAAAACGTATTGCTGGTAATATTTTATTATGCTTTTCCCTCAGTTTCGGGATTAACTATTTACCCATAGCTGGGATCCTAACAGGTGCTACCAAACAGGTCAGGGTGGACATAGGAACACCAGCAATTAAGAGGTGGTCCACGCTCCTCAAAAACTCCTGATCAGAGGCCTTGCTGTTGGATGTAGTTTATCGTCTTACCCAGGACGAGATAAAGTATTATGTACATTATATACATTATTCGGACAATTGTCCTCATTTTTGTCGCCATATTTATTACAACGTTTCGGCCCTTCAGTATCTGTCTATATTTCTGAGATAAGGTATTATGTAAACTATTTACATTATTCGGACTATTGTCCTTATCTTTGTCGCCATATTTATTACAACGTTTCGGCCTTTCAGTATCTGTCTATATTTCTGAGATGAGGTATTATGTACACTATTTACATTATTCGGACATTGTCCCATGGTCACTTTTATTACAAAGTTTGTTTCATATTTATGTCTATATTTCTGAGATGAGGTATTATGTTTCGGTTTACATTACTGAATTTTTTGTTGTCATATTTATCACAACGTTTCGGTTCAGAATTGAAGCTTTTATTTCGCTCGCTGGGGTAAACGGTTCTCCTTCCACGTTCTATGTCTAATGGGTATCAGTTATCTCCTGTTAATTCACTTCTCCAAGTTCTCCACTGTCTTAACCAGGTATTGAACTCACAACTCTTTGGGTCCTCTCACTGGATCTAACCAACGTCTTTATCCACTGTGCCATGTGCCCTTAAAAACACCTGTTTATAAATTACTGGGACTTAGAAACTTAATGTCTTCATTAACCATTTTTACCAGTGCTCATATTGCAATTTTTGATGTTATCAATTTACGTTTTTTAAAAGATCTCATATTGCAATTGTTGTTTTTATTATTGCTTTTCTCTGGCACTCCTTATTACTGGTTCCCAT